CCAAAACATCCCGCCGTCCCATATCGCCGCGTGGCCATCACAATACGCAGCAACGCCAAACACGATCGTCGTTCCAAGAAAAGAAACGCTGCTCGGCAAATACGGGGTGCGTGCCACGGTGGGATGGGGTTCGATCGGAGTCAATTGCCTCGCTGTCCAAGGGGCAGAGCGCGATTGTGGTCGCCGTAGGTGGCAGGCTCGTGGGAGTGTTCTTGTCTCGATCGGCTGTAGAATTACGTACCATCGGAGCCAAAACGTTCGACAGGATGACGAGGAATGTGCGGTACAGCAGCAGTTTGCCCACCGGTGGAGGGTACGTCTTCGTATGGGTTGAAGGTCCACTGAGCCAACATTGATCCAGTCAAGCCAGGTTTTCACATCCCTGGCAGCCAATTTCTCCAAGAGTGGAGTACCGAGTTCATTAGAGGTCTCACAGCGAAGCCCACAGACGTAAGGTTCGCGTATTTCCCACGGGGCGTGTCTGAAACACCCCGTTGGCTTCCTAAGGTCCAGTGTAATGTCCACGATTCGCTACTGCAAATGTCTGTTCTGCGCCAACAACATCGGGCCAAGAACATTGTGCCAGAATGGGACACCAACCGTATTGAGAACCTACATTTCGGGTTGGAGATCCGCGACGCCCACACATGGAAATGCCACCCATTGCAGCAAAAATCCTAAGCCAGCTCGTTTGTACCAATCGCTGGATTTCTACACAAGGTATGGCCGGCCGCATGAAGAGTGGAGCACAAGTGCCGTCTCTTTCGATTCTGCCCCGAGATACGAAGCTGCGGTACTGGTAGCAACCGCGGCAGCGAGCGCAGCGAGTAAATACCTGGTCAAAGCGATCAGTCGGCGACGCGAGACACTTCGACGCGTTGCCTTAGCCGCTGCCGACATGTAGCTGTGCTGAACTAGATGCCACAAGCAGAGGACGCACGCAACAGCCGCCACCACGGCAACGCTGCCATAGAAACTAACAAGTGCCTGTTTAAGGACGAAGAGTATTGGGCGGACAGCGGGCGGTGCAGATATTTGAGCTTCACGTGAGCAGCGTGCATTGATGTTCAATCGAGGAGCACGTGGTGCAACCCGTGTCATGACAATCGTAGATGAACCCGATGCGACAAAGAGCGTATTTCGGGCGCGTGGCAAACACATGTTCCGTGTTCTCGGGTTGCTGTGCGGCCCGTCCATGGTTGCCGTGTAATCTTGTGCAAAAAGGTAAACTACACCGTCGGCGGAAGGTTTCTGCATGAAGGATCTTTTCTCCCCAATGTCCATATTTTTCTGAATTCCCGTCCCATGTGGTCGTTGGTACGGGTTCAGTGCAGCACCGGCCCGCTAGTAAGAAATGCCGAACTCTGGTAGGCCCGGGTTCTAATTTCGTCGCCACCGTCGAACATGGACTACCACATCTGCAGAGTAGAGTGTCACGTAGGATACACAGCGGAGCTGGTCTAATATTTTGCTCCGAGTGATATTGTATACTTTGGAAACGTTGAGCCTGTCCTGCATTGTTTTCCCTACGGTATGTAGCGGGGCGGTATAACATACATGCATGTAGGGACAAATAGGACCACTTATAAACCGGCGGTGTCCCAAAAGCGCTACACCGTCGATCTACTCTTCGCTGATAACCCCCGCGCGTTTGCAAACACACAAAGCGAACCACACTCAGCGGCTGGTGTTGTGTACGGATTATATCATAGTTGAGTGCGTGGCAAACGAAATGACCTATGGCACACGCTCGAAGGGGAGAACAGAAGAATTGTGTTGCGTATTTCTCATTTTCCTGTTAAAGAATCTGGAGGTAATCATGTAACTGTATCATAGTCTAAAGCACTGTTGTACCAGTAAATTGAAGTACTACACATGCAAAACTCTCGTTTCTCTTCCCGGGGTGGATGCTCGCTTTTTATGACTGGCTAACCCAGGACTTCACTACTGCTGTAGCGCACCCTTTTCCCAATCCGGTCTCCACCCATATATCATGGCAACCCAACGTTGCTCGACCGGCTGCTTGACGTCTTGCTTATGTAGTGGGTGGATGCGCGCATGGCATGTACAGATTTGGTCTCCGTGTGCCGAGCCTTTTTCTGCGTCGGTGTTCGTATGTACATACATGTAGAACTAGCTGTAGGAGTGTAGAAACTAAATCTACTGCTGTAGTATCCAACAATACGTTTCTCTTGGCTCTCACATCGGCTGCTGTACAACCTGTAACACTCGTACTACTGCTGTACGGCAGTGGATGTTCGATAAAATATAAACCATTAGTCTAGACCACTCATAGTCAGGAGACAGAGCTGACTGAGACCTGACTGGGTAGTCTACTGGATAACAGCCAGCCATAGTCTGCAGAGGGATACACGTAGGATTCGCATCCCCAGCTGGATCACTTGTAGGACCACCATTTACAGAATTACCTTCAGCATGGCGAGGGGTTCGTCCCCGGAGATCACTGCTGTCACTGCTTGGAGAAGGAGAGCCCTCAATCGCATCTTGTATTTTAGTCTAAAGGCTAAACCATTACTTCAAGTAGACCACACTCAGGCAGTGGTCTTTTGGGTTTGGCCTTTATCGAAAACCGTAAAAATGCATACAATATCAACCTGGTACCTTGCTGGTACACTGCTGTATTGTGCCTTTATCATGGCGAGGGGTTCGTCCCCGGAGATCACTGCTGTCACTGCTTGGAGGAGGAGAGCCCTCCAACGTATCTTATATCCGAGAGTCTAAAGGCTAAACCATTACTTCAAGTAGACCACACTCAGGCAGTGGTCTTTTGGGTTTGGCCTTTATCGAAAACCGTAAAAATGCATACAATATCAACCTGGTACCTTGCTGGTACACTGCTGTATTGTGCCTTTATCATGGCGAGGGGTTCGTCCCCGGAGATCACTGCTGTCACTGCTTGGAGGAGGAGAGCCCTCCAACGTATCTTATATCCGAGAGTCTAAAGGCTAAACCATTACTTCAAGTAGACCACACTCAGGCAGTGGTCTGTTGGGTTTGACCTTCATCGAATATCGTATGCATACAATATTAACTTGGTTCCTTGTTGGTACTCTGTTGTATTGAAGACGAAGTACCGTGCAGTGGGGGCCCCGGTATAGCGACCCCCTTTAGCAACATGCCCTGTTTAGTAACCCCAAAATCTCGTGACACCGCTGCACCCCGGTTTAGCGACCATGTGGTCGCTAAACCGGTCGAACCCTCAATAGCGACTTATATTGCTGTTTTCAGCGGGTAACAGCGACCATCGGTTCAATTTTTGCGGAGACCCTACGTTCCTCCACACACAGAGACATAACACCGCGGGACACGTACACAAACGCAACATGCCGTGCGCCGATGGAGAGTTGTGCAAACAGCCGGTTGCGGGCACCCCAGGGGCATGTTTGCCATGTCGGCTGCGGGGGACGCCTGCACCAGATGTGTGGAGAGGTGGAGATCCTCGATGGCATCGAGATGCACCTCACCTGCCACGCGTGTGCATCCAAGAACATGTAGGCTTCCCCACCCGTCTCGAAACCACCCAAACGCAAAGAGAGATAGAGGTAGATGGGGCGGGAGAAGTTGGCGGTGCGGGGGGTGGCGAAGTGATGGCGCCGCCGCCCTAGTCGGAGCTTTCGTCGAATTTTGGATCGCTAGAAGAGTGCGCGGAGTCGTGTGGGTAACGCGACGCAGCGTACCATCTTCGCAAGGAAAATATGCGATTGATCGAAGCACACTCCGCGAAACCAGCGCGATTGACGCATATCAGAGAAATGTTTAACATGAATGATCAGTACACGCGACAGTAGCAGAATGAGGCCGCCTCATACGTTTTTTCCCGTGGTGAATGAACTACAACCGTCGATGTGGGTGTTGGTTCGGTGTCGTGGTTGACAAGTAACTAGCACCGCGAGGTTCACTACCGCTTGGGCGTTCACGAACTTTCTCCGTGCAATGTAAGGGTGTTTTTTTTTTTGGGGGGGGGACGTTGCCATGACTTTTCCCCCTTTCCCGCCTTCGTTTTTGATGATTCGCAGATCGGACTTCTACGTGCGTATTATGTGTAGGTCTACTACCGTACATGTAGGGACCGCTTGTTCAGCATGCGGGAAAATAAAAAGACACAGGGTACCCTCTGTACACTTACTTGTTGTTGAGATATTTCCTACAAACTTCTGAGGGTACAACAAGCTTGCTGGTTGATTGGAATGCATGCCGTATATGGACAGGAACTACGTACCCCCGAATGTCCACCCTCAGGTGCTTCTTTCCTCTACCTTCATGTGACTGCTGCAATACGACGCACGTGTCTATACGACCCGGTCAAGAAGATTTCTGCAACACGGACCTTAGTCTCACGAAAGTGCGCTTTTTCCCCTGGTTTACGACCGCTAGTCGCTGTTGAGGCTGCCGGTTTAGCGACCAGTTAAACCGGTTTAGCGACATGCCTAGAGAGCGACAATATTTCGTCGTGACTACAGACTCAGGGGGTCGCTAAACCGGGGCCCCCACTGTAGTCTACATACATGCGTACCTGCTTCGGGACGCAACTGGGGCTCCCGAAGGAATCTCTCGAGGCGAAGCCAGCATCGCACTCGCATGCGTCGTCAGCGCCACGATCTTCTGCTGTGATACACTTTCCAGATCCACCCCACAGCGGATGCCGGCAATCGAAAACGCAACGTTCTCCCGACATCAAGTTACTCTTGGGCAGCAGAGACAACAGATCGTGTTTTTACTGAGGGCTTTCGTCGAACAATAGTGACACCACGAGTAGTTCGCGCTGTACCAACGGCCCATCAACGTTCGACACAAACAGCAGTCAAGCCATCGCTGGCACGACGACACATTGGATACCAGTTACGTGAAGGCGTGAAGGCGTGAAGGCTGGGAACTGTTGGGAAAGGTGCGGCGAAATCACGAGGCATGGGCCAATCAGACCATCTGATCATCTGATCCGAGCGGAAAGGCCACAAGTTCCTTTCACGAACCACAAAAGGATGCGCCGCATGTCGGTCGGTCAGGACCGCGAACCAGAAATCAGCTGCGCAACTCCCTGGAATACCTCGTACTATCTGTCCCCCAACCCGGCAGTTGGGACAAGCAGTCCGTCTCGTCCGCTACCGCTACTGGCTGGGCTAAGAGGGTGGCAAGACGAAGGCACACAACCAGTGGGGGCTGCAACTCCAGAGCTGTTCTGCTGTATATACCGCCACCTTCGCGGAATATTCTCCACCTCCGTCCCCAAACTCGTGCGTGAGAAAGATGGAAGCAGATAAGAAACGACTCTGTGGGACACAGCAGACGACGCCCGTTAGGCAGACATGCACCCGCAATGCGGTCTGTTGCTTCCTTTGTGTCTATCCACCGTGAATAGAAGTTGGGGTAACGTTGCTGTGAGGGGGTGCGCAGGTAAAGCTGACGAACTACTGCTGTGCCGTCCTTTGCGGAACAGCTGAACAGCTGCGGTCGTTCCTCTAGCGGAGGAATAATGCGGTGTGTTCTCCGACGTCGACTACTGCTGTAGACTCAGCTACTGCTGCTGTTAACGCCTTCCGCATTCCTGCGGCGAAGACAGGCACGTGCTGGAGCGGATCTATAGTTTGTGTTCTCTTAGTTGTGGCAAGTGAGAACGACCGCAAACTCATTAGCCACACAACCAACCGCGCACTGGCCGGCATTGTGGAGTGCTTCCGATGGACACACCGAAACCTTGGTACCTACGTCTAACCCTCACGGGCATATAACAAGGCATACATACATACAATATGCATAACTTAAACCTCTCAAGTAGGAGTACCTCAACAACATGCCTTTGGAGAAAATACCGAATCGACTTGAAGTTTGAGCGCCGTGTACACATCGCAATCGCGTATATTCTGAAATGGCTTGCCGGCATACCAACATAGGGTGGCACCTCGACTTTTTCGTTTACCTTTATACCATTGTGCAACAACAACATTCACGTCATGTCAGCTCCACTGTTGTCCTAAGTTATATTCCGGGGAGTCGCAGCTGACGATCTTGCATCCCTCCATGCTCCTTTTTTCGCGCACGGCCGCACCTATCTCCACCTCCTGCTCCGCCCAGCAGCACAAGGCCGTTGCAACCATGGAGGCTGCAACGCCTTGTGGCTGTAGAAACCCGGTTACACCGGCGACGGCGGCAGAAAAAACGCCGCATTTGACAGGGGACCAGCGCCGGCGGAGGCATTGTCCGCGAACGGAGTTCAAAGACGAAGAGCGAGGTCGGGGGGGGCGACACCGGCGAGCACCGGCAGGGCGAGTTGACGGGGCGCAGGCGGCTACAGAGGTGGGCGTTTGCAGGGCCCGCCGATGGGCGCGCATCCGCAAAAGAGGCTATGGCACCGGCGGCCCCAGCCCAGGCAACGCCAGGAGCAACGGGAGACAAGGACGAGTAAGCATAAGCGTTGGAGATAGGGACAGTGGGGACGTCACCGGGCCCCGGGCACCGCTCCTGATTTCGAATCCTAGGGAACGCCGAAGAGCTTGTTGTGCTGGTGGCAAGAGCCCTTCTTGTGCGGCTGAAACGTTACTTTCCAAGGGAGCCAGGGCCGTGGTGGTGGGCCTGCTAGCTGTTACGTCTGCGCAAGAGGAAACTACCTATCCCGCTGCCGCGGTAGGGGTGATGGTGCCCCTGACCCCCGCGGGGTTGCAGTACACGGCGAACGTGACGGTTGCCTCCGGCAACTATTCGTCGGTGAGACATGCAAGGCTCCGGGGTGTCAGAAACGCATCACTTCCGAAAAATTAAGAGGTTTACATGTGTTGTCGGATAGCACTGCTGTTTAGGGTAATACGACGGCACACCAATTGAACTTCGTGATTGGCATTACAGTGTTCGCGCTATTTAGCGATGCTTGGGGTAACCTTCAGCGTCGCCTTCTGCCGCCTCAACCCAGCTGTATCTATAAACCAGCGAGGGTGCCGTCGGGGTTTTGCGAATGTTCTACTTGTAGAAGGCTTCTGGGGCTGGCCAAACAGGTCTGGTGTCCTTTCTCTTGTGACCCTCAGGCGGCACAAGATAGAGATAGTAACGGCTACACCGATTCGAAGCTAAATGTCATGCGTCATGGCTAGGCACGTTGTTCACCGTGCCTATACTGCTACCCAAACAGAAGCTGCTGGGCCTGTATCGGCGTGAGAGTAGACACACAAGTATCGAGGCTAGCACGAGAGAGCGATTGACAACAGAACTACTACAACCCCTGGAAGCTTCGGCGACTGTCTGTGTCAGGTGCGGCTTGTTGGCCTCGAGAACCGGACTCAGCCGATGTGTTTTGTATCCCACAAACGGAGTGTCCGATCTCGTTGTTTCCTCTGGGGCGTCGTTGTCGTGGCCATGTTTTTCACCACCGTCGCCGTTGCAACGCATGCGACGGACACAGGCACGCATGCTTACGCACAGAGGGCGAACTCCCGCGGCGCGGACTACAGATACACCACGATTTGCGTTTTTCGGTCCCTTCAAGGCCGGCACCCTTGTTAAATGTTGGTCTGCTGAATCTATCAGCGCAGTGGATTGATGCTCGCTACACAAAGATCCACAGGCACGACAACACTGACGGACACGAATTACTGCGTCCTTCCCCCCCCCCC